TGCAGGCAGTCGTCACGCATTAGCGAAGCGGTGCCAAAACCCCCTAACACCCCTCACATCATGCTTCTGAACTAAAAATACAGACCTGCTCCTGGTCGCCAACCGTACCCAGGGTTCCACGCGAAAAGGGGGTTTCTGGTTAGATTGATCCCTATTGGAGGGCTAGTTTGTTTTGATGTTTACCCGTGTTATCGTAGACGTGCCTGTTTTCGTCACCGCCCTCCTCTCCTGATTGCACATCCCTTGAGTTGAAGTTCGAAAGATCCTTCAACATCTGGTTCTTACAAGGTTATCTTCGGTGAGCCGTGGCCCCGTTGTCGGAGAGCTCAGCGTACTCGAAACAAAAGGCTAATGAGTCTGAAGGGAAGTGGGGGGATTTGTGTGCACCTGAGGTGCGTGTTCCAAGTGCATCTCCGCATGTTCACGATGACTGCGAAGCATTAGACAAGGGGATGTGGGAGCTAAGCGCTAAGCTGCCGTGAGCGCTCTCCATGAACCGACTCTAGTAATCCAACCTCTCCAAATCATCGGCCCGTTTGGAGTGGTCATTTACCTCACAATGCTTCAGCCGCTCAGGGCTTTACTCATGATGCATGAACGTTTGAACTCGCACCTCCTCCGCGAATATCCTGGACGTCAATATCTGAGGTTTCAGGGCCCCGTGCCTTACCCCATGCAACGATGCTACTCTGACAAACAATCCGACGTTGGCCGTAACAGTTACGTGGAAGGTCAAGAGCGCGCTAAGGGTGTATGTTATCTTCTAGCTATCAGTGGTCTCCGTTCAGTTCACTAATGCGGGCACAAGAGTTTGGCGAAAAGATCCGAATGACATTCTCGTCCACGCTACCGAAAAAATTATGGTCAAACATCTACCGACCACCCGCCACGCATGATGCTTATGACGCTGCGCCATTCGAGGCCGATAATGAGTGATCTGGGTGGAGACCAAGAAGAGGTTGAAGAGGGGTCATGAGGAGAGTGGGTTTCCGTTGTGGGCACGGACTCCTATGCGGAAGGTTGAGGCGGAGGCGAGGGTGGAAAGAGTCCGATGGCAGAGGAAAATGAATGAGAAAGCTGGTAGATGTTCACGGGCTTGTGGTTGGCTATCCCAGCGTGTTGCCTTCTGTCTAATCCAAGGTTGTGTGCAGGAACAAAATTTACAACGACGTGACTGACTGTCTGCGGGACTAGACTCCTTGATACTTCTGGTTGGTGAGGCTACACCTATGTCAAAGAGATATAAGAGAGCAGCCGAAGAACCGTGAGTTGTTCTCCTTCCGCAGTTGGTACGTTGCTCAATTTAGACCCAAGTGCGATGGACCGCAAATGCCAAGGAATCTCATGGATTTCGCCCGCGCCCTCGTCACGGAGCCTCACGGTCTGGAATTCCCGTACCTGGATCATATATCCTCTGCTCCTCGTTAGTCGTTTGTTCCTACTTCTATTTTTATCGCTGTGTTTACCGCTATCAAGCCAAGCCGCAGTAACAGTCGGGAGATACCATACCGTTGTGCGACATCGCGCATCTTGAAAGAAAAAATATTATGCTTGCGCAGTAGACCTGTGATGTGGTGCTGGGTACGACGTTGAGGGTATAAAGGCGTCGTTGAGGTCAGTCTGCCATTCATCACAATTCCTCTCTACGCTCACCTACACAGTCAAATCTCAGTCAAATGGCCATTACTCGCGTCTTCACTCTCATCGCTGTTTCTATTGCCGCTGCTCACCTTGCTTGTGCAGCCGTTATTCCTACACCGGTCCCTTCCGGAAGCCCCACGGATTGCCCAATGTCGTTCTCCAAGCCATCAAGGTCAGGGGCCGCGCCAGCACCAACCGATATTCCACAGGATGGCAATGCGTACAACATTTCTGCGGGACCTTTGAGGTGTCCGCCCTCTTTCTCTGCGAGTGGTCTACCAGATGCGGTACGAGAATCTTCAATCAAGTTAACCGAAAACTTACCTTCTTCCCAGCGCCCCTCCGGTCTCCCGCCTGTTGAATCTGCTGCTGGGTCGGCGCCGACCGACATGCCAGGGGATGCTTCTGACAAATCCTCAGCGCCCTCTCAATCTGACATTCCAGCAACGGTACGCAAAGCCTTTGTCCACGCGGCATTATCTTATCTTATCTCGCAGAACACGTCGTCCTACCCTTCCGGAGCATCTCCTGATAGCCCGGCGCCCACCCAGCTCCCCAGGGAATACCTAGAATCCCTTTCCCAATTTCCCGATTTCCCTTCGACCAGATCATCGGACGGCGCGACGCCGACAGATATCCCACAAAATGGAGCAATGCCAAGTGGATCTGGTAACGCCCCACCTTCATTCTCTCAAGGTTCTACTCCATCAGCGGTATGCAGGCATGATTCTGTAAATGACAATACTTCTCAACTCTGTTTTTAGTGCCCATCTTACTTGCCTTCCGCTGCGCCCAGTGATGGCGCGGTACCCAGTGACTTACCAGCCTCCAATTTTTCTTCTGGGTCGCTTTCACAAGGGGTACGAAAGGTTTTTTATTTTCTGAAAATGGCACTCACAATTTTTTTCAGTGCCCGCCCGACTTTCCCTCCTCTGCCTTCCCCTCTGGGGGCCCAGCTCCAACTGATGCCGCATAAATTTCATTTATTTTATACAAAGTGGCCCTTGGACATTATGGACGCACGGACGTATTTGTGTAGATGATTTTGACGACAAATCATTATATTTCTACTTCACAAACTGTACCTTCGGACGCTCTCGCTTTATTCTTTGTATACTATACAAATGTCGTACCAGTTGTATTTGATCTAGATTCGCATGCTCGTCGTACATACATAGCTATCAATAACACATTCTCCAGACGTATTTCGAGTTTTCCAAAAAAAAAAGACAAGACCCGACGAACAACGTTGGGGAGTCCTATCTCTTAGTCAGAAACTATTCATACCCCTCTCATCTGTTGTAATGTTCTCTATTGCCGACGCAAGTGCCAGAACATTATCCTGTTTGCAGTCGATGTGGAAAGAATGCACTTGAGCTGAAAGAAATTTGTTTCATTCACGCTCCCGCTCCAAATTGTAAGCCAGCACCAGCAAAAATCGACCCATATCAATTTCGGAGGTTATGATTGAGGGCACCACGAATCGAACGTGGATTCTCAGAATGCGAATCTGCCTTTGGGCTTTGGCTACACTTCCATCTGATGCTCTCCCAACTTGAGCTATGCCCCCCCATTAATGACTATGTATCTCACAAAGATGATAATGAAATAAAAGAGTATTTCCCTTGTTTCCACTGCCAAAACAATTTGAAGAGATATCCTGGCTACGTATGGATCAACCGATCATGGGGATAAAAAAAACTTCTACTTCCAATGTTGGGATGGGGGCACCGCAGATCGAACGCGGGACCTTCAGAATGCAGTAGTTAGTACTGGCGACTTACTTCAGTCTGCTGCTCTCCCAGCTGAGCTATGCCCCCTTGTTGCGAGACACTGTCGAGGACTTTCTCTCAAGTGGCAATTCAGGTCACGTTATTCCCGACACGGATTTGAGGACACCAGCTCATATTTCTTCTCGACATCGCTTTCCTCTTCTTCAGTCACACCTTGCAGACCGCGCAAATAGAAAAGAGAAAAATATATGCGTTGGTGCCCTGGTCGAGTGCCGTTGTTTGCCGACAAGGATGTGCTCGTAATCACCTGCAGTCATGCCAATTTCCCTTTACACTTTCCAACTTAGCAAGCTCTGCTGCCATATGACAACGCCATTCTCATGGACCGAAATTGCATGGGGCCCATGTATGTCATGTCTTCGTCCCGTTTCGTCCTCTGATAGTTTACAGATCACCGCCAATCGACGGCCCAACTCGTCATCATCAGGAGAAGAACGGCGTACCACCCCGTCAACCGCACCCCCCCCGCGCGTGGCCTGACGAGCTGCAAGGTCTCCTAGCGGACTCTTCGGGTAATGAGAAGGGGGAGACGCTTTCTTTGCATTCGAGCCCTGCTTCTGGAACAGGAAGAACAAAAACGGTGGTCCAAGGAATGGGAAGCCTCGGAGAATAACATTGTTCGGGTTGGACGACCAGATATACAACTCCTACACGATGACGCTGAGGACGCGCTCTTATTCCGTCGTCACCGCAGCGGCAGTGGTAGCACACCCCACAACAACGCTAGCTATGAGGACGCTCGTGGAGGCTGGTGTGGTTGGCAATGGAGAGGAGTTTCGGGGGTTCAAGGGGAGTGGTGGGTTGGCGCTGGTGAAGGGCTGTTGGGGGAACCACTGCTATGTCTTCCCTTGGGTCTCATTCTCGATCTCGCTCTCAAAAAGATATTTCGGAGGAAAAACCGCCAATCCGCGTCGACGCGGACGACGTGAACAACCACGACACCCCCACTCGCTGCCTCCGCCTGCATATTCTCCTCGTCCTGCGTACCCTCGATAACAACGCGGATGGGATTCAACATTCACGGACGCGACACGTTGACTTTTCCGCTTCCCGAAATTTATCAATTCATCTACATCCGCCGCCTTTAGCCAGGTCGCGATGCTGAGTGGCAGGCGAGTACGCTCAGCAGGCTCGGGTTCATGCTCTAGCTTTGCTGAGGTAGCTCTCGGTGGACAAGACGGTGGTGAAAACGGTGAATTTAGTGAGTTCACCCCTTACTTTGTTCTTTCATCTGAGTTTCTGAGATATCTCTCCGCAGCATTGTATTACGGCGCCCGTGACCCTCTGCTGAATTACTGTGTTATCGTGATTTTGAGTGTTCTGCGTTCTCAACCACTGTCCGTCACTCTAAGTTCCACTCTCTCTTGTTGTATCTTGTCTTGCTGACTATTCCCCCTCCTGCTCTTCACAGATGTCATCCGGGCCTTGGAACGTGGTGGGGGCCCGTTGACTACAGCCATGAACATGTACACTGGTTCGCCTCGATTCTGGATGTATTCGCAGCCTTCTCTAAACGTTCAGTCAAGATTAACTTACAATATTCCATCATTGGCAAATACATTCATCCTGATCTCTTCTTCCTATTCTCTCCGTCGTCAGCCTCGTCCAGTCATCCGTTCGCCCCGAGGTTCCGCGACGCCGGCCTCAGAGTGCATGAAGCATACTCGTCATCAACACGCCGCTTTCCCCCACACATGTCGGAGTGCATTCACGCCCCGTCCACGTCCACACCCTGCCATCGTCACCGCTCCTTACTCGCGGTGGATTGAGTTGGGCCTGAATTCCGTCACCACGGACACCATCACGTGACGGAGTTCTTCAACCAAAAAAAAAAAAAAGCGTGAAAAACGTTTTTTTCTCGACAACAAATGCCAGCCTCTCTTCGAAGGTGACCAGTATGCACCGCGGAAGTCTCGACCGGCCAGGCTCCTCCGCTGCATGAGCTGCTGGCAACGGTCCATCTCAAGCCAACCCGTAGCATCCCAATGATTCCTCTTCCCTTACTGGCGCTCTCGCCCGCACAGTCATCCTCAACCTCGGTGCCCAGAACGACCTAAGTGTTGATCTTTTGTCCCTCTCACCGACCGGTGTCAAGTGCCTCCACGCTGCTACCCGTAACGCCACCGACTTCAAAACCGTCGCCTACGCAGGCCAGCGGCTATTTGTATTCCAGAACGTGCCGACATCGTGGACAAAATCGGACATACCGCAGTCGTCTACAGCCAGCGTCGCCGATTCCGCCACTACCCACCACTACTGCAAGTAAGGATGCCGTTGAGATGGAATTTATCAAATTAACTTGCGGGAAAGGGTGACGAATACGGAGGAGCTGCGGAAGTCGATGCTGCGGTTGTTGAAGACGCTGGGGCGTCAGAGGGCTCTGAAACCGCGGTACCTGCTCGTATAATATACACCGGCAGCATTGGTTGGACTCAACTGCGCCGTTTTCGATTGCTGGACGAGTTCTCTGTACCATCCATCGCAACAATTTTCTGAGCAGGACGCCAAGTATATGAGGAGGCAAGGGCAAATTCGGTCGGGTTGGGGTGACAGTGCGCCCTCGTTAATGCTAGCCTAGGAGCGGTCCTTGAATGCGGTTCGCATTGTAGATTCTCATCTATCTACGCAGATTCTATGGTCAGTCACACGCCATGTTTTTAACGAGAAATTTGAAAATCTAACTCGCAAACTCTCATAGAATACTACGTGGGATGTTAAAGTTGAACAGGTTATGCAACATTCAAGTTGAAGGAGAAACAATTCTGCAGTTTGGATCGACTTCAGTAAATTTTGGCTTCTGGGAAATTAGGATCATCCCCCCAAAACCTAGCCGGCTCTCCCTCCCTGATCCTCCCCATCCATTCCATGGTCAACGCAGCTGTCCTCACAAACAATGTACCATCAATCAACTCGCTATCCTTCAGCTCCGTGCCTTTGAATTCCCCAGCGGCAATGTGGCCGTACAACGAGCCATAATGGGCCAGCGTGCGCTGGACTTTGGACAGATGATCGTCGGGGTGAACCAGTGCTGATTGTATGATCTTCAGCCACACGTTTGGAGTTTCGGCGAAGGGAGACTCAGGATCAGGGAATGCGGATTCTGTGGGGTTTACCGTAGGTCCTGGGAAATCTGTGAGGATCGGTGCCGTAAAGAAGGAGCGGACAGGCAGTTCAGGCCGACCCTTGGAAATGTAGTAGGCTAATGAACGCGTGAAGTATGCGCGGAGGAGCAGTGATTTCGATGTCGGAGATATGACCGCCATGTACGATGTCAAGGTCATCGAACTGGTGAGAAGGTGCATTCTATTGAGGATTGAAGTCAGTATACATTTTCTTTTGTTGCCGAAAGAACTCACAGAGTAAATTCAGCTTTATAAAATTTCCCATTGCGCCATCCACCCACGGCATATATCATCACGTTCAGGAAAGTTAACTCTTGCACCTTCTTGGCAATCTCTTTGTCATTGGCCCCGTCCACAAGCCACTCTGACGCATACGACTGTATCTTCTGGCCAATTTTCGCCTGAAGATCGTCGAACGACCCTTTATAATCTTTGAACGCATTATCCGACATGATACGCGACACGATGGTGAATGCGTGTAATCCTGGCCCACGCTTGGTCGGTGCTTCGAACATCGATCTCGGTATCAAGTTCGGTGATGGGGCTCCGTGTACAGCAGTCTGTGCCAGTCCTGATAATATCGTCTTTCAGTAATGCTTTCTCGCAAGGTACAGAGGAATGCTCACCCATAGCTACAAGACCGGGCAAGCTGCCAAACAAGGGTTAGCACAACTGTCGTATAAAGGATGGAGAAGAATATGGCACCTAAACTCGATTCCATAGCCGAGATAAAGCATGGGGTGGAGGATGCCATCCAGTAGGCGATTCACCATCTCTGGTTTTTTGCCATCGAAGTTCGCTTTGGGCGAGAAAAGCCACTCCTCGAGCACAGCGCTGAGAGGTGTTTTCAGCAGAAGATCGGAGAAAAAGTGAAGATAAGCCTGGTAGTAGTCCCCATCACCCAGGTGATCGAAAGCATTGGCCGTGGTGATGGCACCTGGTGAACGGTGAGCGTATCGCTCAACATTCTCGTGCTGGTCCCAAATCGCATCTAGATGCTTTGAGGTCCCTCCTAGCGCCCACTCTACCAGTAGATGAAAGGGTGTGTGATTGTGAGCGCCCCTGGAAGTGTAGTCGAACATCCTGCATCATCGGTTAGAGAAACCATGAATAAAAGAGTGCAGGTTGTACTACCCATGGTGTTCCACATAGTCTCGTTGAAGATATACGCGCAAGGTGGCAGTGGATTCGGGTGAGGTTCCAGGCCAACGAGGAGCCGTATAGTGTGTCAAGGACGGGCCAGGAACAGGCCAGAGTTCGAGGAGTTGAGCTTTGGTCGGCGCCATGGCAGTGAGAGTAGGAGAGGTACGAAATCAGTAGTACGATGGTGGGAGATAAAGCGTGTAGGGCTCAAATATACAGTCGAGCCCATACTTCTCATAGGCCATAAACCGCCATAACCCATATGTTTCGACAGCTACCAAACCGAGATTTACGGCCAAATTTACACCTCAAAACCGATAAACTCACATCAACTGGCATAGCCTGAGCCATCCACCAATGCCGACTGCAACTAAGCATCCGAGATCTAAGATTGGCGCGGTCATGGACAGGATGGCGACAGTAAGTAGAGAGCCCTGGAAGATCCGATATGTTGCAAATATGATATTGGCTGGCACCAGGAATGAATCGGATTCCATCGTGATATTTTGAAACAGGGTTCATTTCTCTGAATATTATCATGTTGACAGTGACGCGTCACGCGTCACACGATACGTATCATACAGCAGTAGGGACTGTCATGGATCGGCAATAACCGGGTATTATCCGTGGCCGTTGATACCCGTTATCCACGGATCAGACCCGTGGATATATATGGAAATCCGTGGATATCTGTGATCCGTATACTATATTTAATAATATTTGAGCAGTCTTAGTGGGAGCTACCGCTGCCACACACCAATGCACGACTGTCCTTTGTCGGCCTGTGGAATTCATCAATTTCACTCCTTCCTAAGATAAAAACACTCTTTGATGAATTTGAACATAAATTTATTGAAATACAATTATTTCTTCAGTCATTCTTTTAAATTTAACTCTGATTTTATCATTCCACACTATTCAAGCATTCATGGAGTGGACTATGTTACACCTTTAACTTAAATGCTATACAGAGATCAATTTGGTCATGAATAAATATTTAAGAGGCCAGAAACAGCCCAGAAAGACAATGTGTATATGGCAGATCAGTGATAGAGATATACCATACACATCTGTGACTCAGTTTGCACCAAAAAATCCTGAAGTGATATTTCAAAAACAAAGATATAAATTACTTATACTTATTGAACCTTCCAAGCCATGTATGACACTGGGGTAAGTATCTTGACTGGTATTTGATGCTTATCTGGCATCCAATCCTTAATAGTATGCATAATGAGTGATAAAAAGGAGTGAAATTGGATTAATAGTGAAAATAAATTTAAAAATGCTTGCTTCCAAAGAATTTGGGGTGTTTTCACAGAATTTGAGGATGGGAGAAGTTTGACAAAGTATGAATTTCACTAATAACAGCTATAAAATACAATTTAGAACTTTTATAGTTGATTTTTTCCAATTTTGAAGACTTACTTCATATCCAAATTATGATGTTTGCTTTTTATGAAGATGCCAGTGATATTTTTATGAACTGAGGCTTGATCCTTTCATTCTCCACCATTATTAAAGAATGAGCTTCTACTGAAGTTCACGTAAGATATTACAGTGAATTTTGTTATAACAAAATTATCCTAAACGACAGCTTTCTAACGCATATTTTTTCGTGGAAAACGGCGAAGAACTGACGAAGATAGATGGAGGGCTGGTCTGCGCCGCTATACCCACGGATATATCCGTACCATGGCTTATCCAATCCGTGGGTGGGAAAATCCACGGATCGGGTACGGATAATACCCGGATGTATCCATGACAGTCCCTATACAGCAGTGATCGTCGAACCGTCTAATAGGCAAATGTCAACTCCCACGACCACCACTTCCCGGAATGTTTTGCCGTCGCATGCAGGAACCAACGGCGACCCTACTCACAAGGTCAGCCTTTTGCGCAGCCTCTTTGGATCTGCCAGTGAGGCTCTTTCGATGTCCCACTCAAGACTCCTTGCACGGTCCTCAGGCTGCCCAATCCTTGAAATTCTTTGACTCTCGTTGCTTTTGCATCCCGTCTTCTCTGCCAAATATGGCTTCGGCACTTTCGTATGGTTGTGATGTTCACTACAGCCCATCGTCCCTACCTTATCACTCTCTATTTCTGCCGCCGGTCAACTTAATATGTTCCGATCTGTCAGCACGCGCAGTCGAATTCAACAGCCCTACTATCTCGATCTCTTTCCTATCTCTCCCTGCCGTCCATCATGGAGTGGGGTAAGAACAATCTGTATCCCATCCAAGTTGCATCCAAGCCAGCCAACTCCGCCGATCATTTTACTTACGATCACCATATTTGTATTCTTCTGTGGTGGAAGGTATGGGCCTCATCGATAACAACATTTATTGCTCACAGTCCGGTGTTTTGAGTGCTCCGAGTCGCTATTTTCTCGGCAGATGGATCGCAAGCATCTCACCTGTTGACACTGGCGTCCTCGTTTCCAACTTTCTAGAAACTGCGCTGAACACACGTTCCTTCCTTCCGATTGGCTAGATCAGCATTCCAAGTTTGTGTTCATCAATCTGAAAGAGAAAGAGTGTGGGGAGAATAAGTCTGCCGGTCATTGGATTGAAAGGTACAGCCTTTTCTAAAACCACTTATTATCGACCCCTCATCCATACTCAGTTCCCTATCATCGTTCGAAAATGCCAGTAGTTCGCACCACAAAGACCTTCAGACAACTACGAGACCAGGCCGAAGACGACTTCAAATTCCATTATCCAGCAGTCGCTCTAGTCTACCACGGCGGAAGCGCAGTAGACTTCATCGGAATTCGCATAGAATGTGCCAAAGCTGGTAAAGAATTCGTTTCCAATATCGCTTTTGGCCGCGGTGAGTTCTAGTTATCGAATTAGTCAAGTATCAGTACGAGTCCATTCCTGATTCCTGTATTCCATCCCCTAGATCCTGAAGGAGAGTTGTATTACAACGATATCTCGCAACTCGCAGGAATCGGTAAATACGAGATTCAGTTCAAAGTTGGTCAAGTACTACAAATCGTAATCCGCAACCCCAACAATGGTATCGTCGCCACCGTAAGTCCATTTCGCAACTCAGTTGTACTACACTGATTTCTTCTTGAAACTTGTAGTTCGTAGGAGCAGATCCCGTAATATCTCTACCCTATCCATTAAATTCAAAACTAATATTTTCGGTAGGCAAGCGCCATTGGCTGGTTAGAATTCGACGCCGACCACCCTGAGGTACCTCTCAGAGGAAATTGGAACGACTATAAGGCGTTGGATGTAGCTTCCGTCATAACCTGTGCTGCAGGATCGACGGATGTAACCATCTCACTTGACTCGTTAGCGAAGAAGGTTACATTCAAGCTACCTAGGGCCAGTGTCAAAGGCATGAGTACGTCAATCCTTTTTCTCTTCTAGTAAATCAAGATTCACATAGGATTCCATAGATCATATGGGCACGACGACCATTTCTTCTGTCAACGATATCCCGAATGGTACACACAGCATGGTCGACTTCGATGCTGATCGCGTTCTGTTCTATCCCCAGGTTGGCAGCAAAACTATGACGGGCTACGTGAGTTTTTCTCTACTTCACTTCGCCAAACGCCTCATGTTGAACTTGAATCCATTCTCGACCGTCTAGTTCATTCGTACGCAAATTTATCTGCCTTCTTTTCGTCTTGTGTGGTTACTCTTTTATTTTTATAGCGGCAGTCAAAGAAAGAGCAGACTTGGTCGCTCTTGGACATCAAGCATTCATCAGTTCTAGCGCGAACGCTGTCTGGCAATCTGCTTGAAGTTCGAACAGATTAGCGAAGGCTGCCAATGGCCAAGGACAATTGTTGTAGGCACCTGTAAATTCGAGTCCAATTCCACATGTATCGCGCGTAACACCGTAAAGATTTAAATTTGTTATCATCACTGAACAAGTACGAAGATAAAGGTTCGATGCCGATATTTAGCCAACTTGAGGTTCTGTTCTTCACAAATCAATCTCAATCTAGTTTACTTCATCATCGTCAGAGCATCTACGCTACCTCACCATCTGTAACTCACAGGTGGCCGGTGACAGACGCGAGTCCTTCCACCTCTCTCCGGCTGACGGTGATATAACAACTTAGGCACTCCACTGATATTGCGTGTATGACATGGAATTTAAGAGGCAGTCATAGCGTACTGACGACTGAATTCGTATTCGAGTTCAACCCCAACAGAAACTTCATCACTTCAATGTCAAGCGGCTGAGTTGATCACCTTAGTCTTTACTCTTAGTGTTCGTCATACATATGAGGATTCGCCTGCGGTTAAAATATACTAATATTGGCCAAATGTTGGGAATCAAAGATAAACCACGAACCTTCATGTCCGCCTTGAGCCGCAGTGCCTTGCCAACAATAGCGTCCACCTGTGCATAGGCTAAAGTGAGATCAAACGGGCAGAGAACAAACAAGACTACTAACATGATCACGATTAACATCGACAAGTTTATAGTGGACATCGTTTGTGCCGCGATGCTCAGTACAGGTGACTTTATGACACTTCTCGCCCTCGTGAGTGAGCTGTGCATGAATGTCGTTGACAAGCGCATCGTGGCCTCGATCAGAATGCTCTATAATCCATTCTGCCCATCGGTCCGTCGTGCGGAGACTGTCAGTCGAATGAAGGACGCAGCCCACTATGGCGAGTTTCATCGGCTCGGGATTGTATTCAGGGTCCGGGAGAGGGACGTACAGTCCACTGTGGAACGTATTAGTTCTGGTGGAAGATCCACATATAAGAATCCTCATACCCAGTCTTCTTGGTTAGATCTTGGTAGAATGCCTCGGCTTTCTGGGAAGGATGCGTTTCTGAGAGAAAGATAGAGAAGCCGAGCGTGAAAGTGTACCTCATAGTATGTAATCTCAGGGACACACGCCAGCACGCTCTGCAAATCTAACGTCAGAGATCGTAAAGAGAGGTATAGTCAAAACCCACAAGCTGAATGTTCGTTTTATTGTAAGTTTTGAGGATAGCTTCGTGGGTTAGAGCTATCACGACAACGGTAAGGGCACGAGAGAATTCTCAGGTGATGCAGTTTTCCTACCTTCAGGGTGATCTCTAGGGACACTGTCGCCGGGTTCACCGATACCGTGCGGGGGAGAGTCAGTGATGAGGATGACAATCCTCTTCGCCGTTTGCCTCCAAGGCGAGCGACGTGCTGCATCTAGTCCGTCAAACTGTGCTTCCGGTCCGTCACCACCTCCAGACGCAACGAGGCTTGCTAGTTGGTTGGCCACGACAGCCGGATCATCGGTGAAATCGTGCGTTTTTATAAGCCAGTCACAACCTTGTTCCTTATGATCGCGAAAGGCGATGACACGGTAGCGGGCTCGACCGCCATTCAGATTGGCCTGTGCTTTGATCATGGGGATGGCGTCCTTGACATATTTGCGCACAGTGTCGATGTAAGGCTGCTGACTTTCGGTGCAGTCTTGAAGTAAGACAACATCACTAGATTAAATAGTTAGAATTCTTGACACAACCGTCGCAAAAATCTTACATATCGATTTTCTTGCTGGTAACGGGTGGTGGCATATTTACGTTGCCTGGCATATTGGCAGGATTGAGCGCGTTGGAGGATGCTAAGGTGTTCGGAAGAGTTTATATCGTCACAGTGTCGATAGTGAGTCGGCCTTCCAGGGAGGGCTGTACCTATAGGCACACTTGTTCTCCCCACACTCGTTCTGTTTGAAATTGACTTTGGAGGCTATCCACATCTAGATCTAGCCAATCGGAACGAAGGAGGGAACGTGGCTTCGGCACAGTTTCTGGAAAGTTTGAACTGATGTCGACAGGGGAGATGTTTGCGATCTACAATCCCATCTCCTCCGAAAAAATAGCGAATCGGAGCACTCAAAGATCCGGACTGTGAACAATAAATGCGCTTATCGATGAGCCAAGAATTGAACAACTTTGTGATGCGTACCGCTTTTCTATCCGTCTACGTCACTATGACTGCCATTGACTGGTTCAGATTGCGTGGTTAGTACGGTACGAATTGTATCCGTGTCGAGTGAGAAATTTCGAAGTACTTGTCTATACCATCGGCGGCGTTGGCTCTGGGATACGAATTGTTCTTACCAAGTTCTCACTCTACTTGACGATTTGGGAGCAAGAATCGGTGAGAAAGCCTTCCCCCAAAAAAGCACAAATGTTTCCTTCAAACTCAGGACCGCCAGCAATACGGAATCTGGTCCAGATTCGGAAAGAAAATGAGGATTTTAGAGACAAAAGCCTGGGGCCAATCCGGACAAAAAGTGACTTGAAAGTTAAAAATTCGAAACTGCGCAGACCTGGACAAGATCGACGAGATGCCTCTTAGGTCGGAGGACGTTCATGAGGAATGTGTGTGGTTATGCGAAGCGAAACGCGCACATAAGATTGGACTGGAGTAGTAAATGTCAATCTGGACATATCTGTCGTGGACTCGTGGCTGAGCGGTCGCTCCTGTTGCCTGTACAACTTGAAGCCGAGTCGCCGAAGCGCCAGATCCTAACTTGGTATAGACTCGCAGCAAGTCCTTGATCTCGCCATGCGGTTGTTTATCAAAGATCAGATGTTGTCGTATTGTTGCCGTGGAAAACATATAGTCTGGGCCTTATGGTAAGGTCAACATAGGCGTAAAAATAATGGTCACGTTTTGTTCCCACGGACCGCGTCGCGTTGTAAATTAGTTGTGCTTCATCGACGATTATACGCGTTTTCCCTGGTAATAATGCCTGAAACACCTGTAACCAAAAAGTCTACATTCAAATCTGCAGAGGGGTGGGCCCTCTCCCTCCAAATCCAACAGAAACACCTCCCATCTGGTCCACATGACTACTAACTTCAGGGTATTACCTCACTGCTTGACGTAAACAACCTCCTTGCAATCTCAGCAATGGCATTGGGAAAAGCTGCATACATGGTTATGCATGCCATTCTTGCTATTCTGGAGGATCCTACCCTTTGTCCGACCACGAAATTCCCTCCAATCCAGCCATTCTTGCCATATATCCAACAACTGCACTTGAGGAAGACCAGGTACTGGCTCTTCATACCTCTACAAGCTGACAGGGACAGCGAAGAAGGAATTGGAGAAAATGAGCTTTCAGAAACTCCATTGTAGTTCCAGAATGGGGTAGGAGTGATCGGTGCAACAATATTTTGTTGATGAGGTGTCTCAGGTGGGACTGTGGCCGGTTCCACGCACATTGAGCAAAGGAAACTTCGAAATTATAACCTCTATTTCTGTTTGACCTCCAAGGCGCGTTGCGCTAGGGACTGTCATGGATACATCCGGGTATTATCCGTACCCGATCCGTGGATTTTCCCACCCACGGATTGGATAAGCCATGGTACGGATATATCCGTGGGTATAGCGGCGCAGACCAGCCCTCCATCTATCTTCGTCAGTTCTTCGCCGTTTTCCACGAAAAAATATGCGTTAGAAAGCTGTCGTTTAGGATAATTTTGTTATAACAAAATTCACTGTAATATCTTACGTGAACTTCAGTAGAAGCTCATTCTTTAATAATGGTGGAGAATGAAAGGATCAAGCCTCAGTTCATAAAAATATCACTGGCATCTTCATAAAAAGCAAACATCATAATTTGGATATGAAGTAAGTCTTCAAAATTGGAAAAAATCAACTATAAAAGTTCTAAATTGTATTTTATAGCTGTTATTAGTGAAATTCATACTTTGTCAAACTTCTCCCATCCTCAAATTCTGTGAAAACACCCCAAATTCTTTGGAAGCAAGCATTTTTAAATTTATTTTCACTATTAATCCAATTTCACTCCTTTTTATCACTCATTATGCATACTATTAAGGATTGGATGCCAGATAAGCATCAAATACCAGTCAAGATACTTACCCCAGTGTCATACATGGCTTGGAAGGTTCAATAAGTATAAGTAATTTATATCTTTGTTTTTGAAATATCACTTCAGGATTTTTTGGTGCAAACTGAGTCACAGATGTGTATGGTATATCTCTATCACTGATCTGCCATATACACATTGTCTTTCTGGGCTGTTTCTGGCCTCTTAAATATTTATTCATGACCAAATTGATCTCTGTATAGCATTTAAGTTAAAGGTGTAACATAGTCCACTCCATGAATGCTTGAATAGTGTGGAATGATAAAATCAGAGTTAAATTTAAAAGAATGACTGAAGAAATAATTGTATTTCAATAAATTTATGTTCAAATTCATCAAAGAGTGTTTTTATCTTAGGAAGGAGTGAAATTGATGAATTCCACAGGCCGACAAAGGACAGTCGTGCATTGGTGTGTGGCAGCGGTAGCTCCCACTAAGACTGCTCAAATATTATTAAATATAGTATACGGATCACAGATATCCACGGATTTCCATATATATCCACGGGTCTGATCCGTGGATAACGGGTATCAACGGCCACGGATAATACCCGGTTATTGCCGATCCATGACAGTCCCTACGTTGCGCAAAGCAATCACATGACATCTTTTCATGTTGCAAAAGCGAACCGTGGGAATAAATATTGTGGGAAATAATCTACGCCCATGTTGCGGGCGCGTTTGAAAGCAGACTCCATATGAAATTGATCGACTATCATCAACTTCATATCGGAGTCTGACATCGGGAGACTAGAAAACATATGGCGATGCGTGAACTGGTTGGAAGTAGTAGTGGCGCAACTTGTCAGGTGTTGTTTGATTATCATTTGTTGTGGTCTTGTTGTCGTGGCAAACATCCAGGGTCTGGTCTCACCAAGGTCTCACCGCTCTCAATTTGCTCTCAAGCCCAGCGATTGGGAGAAAGGTCTTGGGCACTTTGTATCTCCTCCTCCTCCTGCCAAGTAAGACGAATGGGTCTCTACATGAGCACGTGAAAGTTGACAGCGTTCTCGGTTTTCGTCGAGCGATGTGCCAGTTTGGTGCCAGTCACCAGTGCGCCGCGTTTGGTTGTTTTCTTATAGGTTTCTGAAATGATGAGTGCCATATTTTTTCTCCAAAGAAAATCCTTACGAAGTAGGATTGTTTGACTCCGTGCGCCGTGTAGCGCTGAAGCCTGCATGTCCATGCCAGTGGGTTGCTCGTAATCATGTCCTTCCAAGATGCGGAAAGATACTTACATATGATGTTCATGCCGCTGGCTGGCAGCACCCGCATCCAAGTCATGGGTAGTAATGAACCAGTATTCTTTGACAGACGGAGACTTCAAGTTCCCAAAGGTTTTGCGAGCTATGGAAGCCTCAGATACATAGAAAAGATGAGGACAGAAGAGCCCTTTCCCGGATCCTGAGGCAACCCCCAGCATACGTTCTTCCTCCGCTCATTTCCTGTCATTCTCGACTGACTTTGTAATCTCCGCAAAGATGATCCTAAACCCGTTCCATTGCCAAAACAATTTAACATCTGTATGAACAATTGAGGGGGGCACCGCAAATCGAACGCGGACTTTCAGAATTTCAGGCTTATCCTCGTACTTTATTCTGATGCTCTTCCATTGAGCTACGCCCTTTTTACTGAAGAGGGTTTGGACAGCAACCTGAACTGGAAGAAGTCTGGCTAACAGGCCTGAGGGCACCACAAATCGAACACAGACTTTCAGAGTGTGAACTTCTACTGGTGGCCGGCAGCGCCCGCATCCAAGTCATGGGTAAGTAAGAGCATTGAACTAAATTTGTTAGGTATTTTACGACAGGTGACGGAGCCCTTCCGAAGGTTTTGCGAGGTTTGGAATAAAAAACGCCACTCCAGATAGAGAAAATGAGGATAGAAGAGCTCCGTTCGACACCCCCCCCTCAAGCATACGTTCCTCTTCCACCCATATCATGTCATTCTCAACTTACTACACCACTTTCCAGATATCCAAAGATGAGGATTTTCCCTGCTCCACTGCCAAAACAAAAGGACATTCTGCCTCTTGTCTTCCCTCTAGGGGCACCGCGAATCGAACGCGGACCTTCAGAATTCTGAATGCATCTTTCTGGGTTTACAAACTTTATTCTGATGCTCGTCCAATTTGAGCTATGCCCTTTTTACTACAGAAGGTTAGGACAGCGGCGTGAAATGGATCTTGGAAGGGTCGTCACAAATCGAACACAGACTTTCAGAATGCATGTCCATGGGTTGCTCGTATGCCTGGTCCTGCAGATCGATATCAAACTAGATATATCCTTCAAGATCTGGTGAAATATGATGGTCATTCCACTGGCCGGCAGCGTCCCGCATCCAAGTCATGGGTAAGTAAGAGAGCATTACCAAATTTGTTAGGTATCCTACGACACCTGACGGAGATTTTGCAAACGAGGTTTAACTTGGGAATAAACGCCACCCTGGATAGAAAAGATGAGGGCAGAAGGGCTCTTCCCCGGCATACGTTCCTCTTCTGCCCATTTTCTGTCATTCTCGACTTACTAAACGATTTTGTAATCTCCACGAATATGATAATAAACCTGTTCCATTGCCAAAACAACTGACTGTACCATTTGGTGCTATCATGGGGGGCACCGCGAATCGAACACGGACCTTCAGAATTACCTACTGATATCTCTACTTTATTCTGATGCTCTTCCAACTTGAGCTATGCCCTTTTTACTGCAGAGGGTTAGGACGGCAACATGAACTGGAAAAATTGAACGTCGTTAGAACGTGATTCTCTATCCCTCCACCTTGAATCTGATGCTAGAGTCCCCCCAGCATACGTTTCCTCTTCCGCCCATTTCTTGTCATTTTCGACTGACTATACGACCTTGTAATCTTCACAAAGATAAAATTTCCCCCGTTCCATTGCCAAAACAACCAGACAAATCAGAGATAAGGGGGGCACCGCGAATCGAACGCGGACCTTCAGAATTACCTGGTCCTTTATCATTATGTGATACTTTATTCTGATGCTCTTCCAACTTGAGCTACGCCCGTTCTATTGTAGAAGGTTCAAAGGACGGCAAGTTGAGCTGAAGAGTTGTAGATGATGGGGGCAGCGCAAATGGAACATCCGCCTCAAATCTGACGCTTCGTATGGTGGAAAACCTGGACATACGGTAGATAGATGGCTGGATTTCGAAAGAAAAAAGAAATATTGATCTATGGGCACCTGCGAATTGAATGCAGACTCTCAACATCCGAGCTATGCTTTCCTGTTGTTGTATTAGATCTCAAAAAATAAGAATACACTTGGTACCTAATGATGGGGGCACCGCGGATCGAACGCGGGACCTTCAGAATGCAAGTTGAGTTTTCGATTTCAGTGGCTTCAGTCTGCTGCTCTCCCAGCTGAGCTATGCCCCCTTCGTTAGAGATTGGAGGGTTCGCTATTCAAAATCATAGTGGCCGGACAACTTGGAAAAGACTATGGGCTCGGATATAAAGATGATGAGGCGATCGCACGCTGAAGAATAAATCTGTATGTCGCCTATGGCTATGGATGCATGGATCTCGCCTTGAGTTGAAACTTGGTTGAGACTGACGTCAAGAATTTGACGGCCCCTGTCAGCGACGTCAACTTTACTTGTACTTTACATGAAATTCTTCTCTGCACCACTTCATCGATGCATCCTCCTCCTCCTCCGTTTCCTCTTCTTCCTCGGGCCATAGTGCCTAGACCGTGAAAACGGAAAGGAGAGAAAACATGTGCTCGCTCAAGTTGGTGTCTGATCCCAATTAGGGTGAGTGCCGTTGTTTGCCGAGTGGTGCGTTGGCATCGTAATCACCTGCTGCAGTACCGTCTCTTCAAATTTCCCTCCAACCTCCCAGTCCCATCCTCCGCCCACAACGACAACGATGACGACCCCCTTCTCATGGTCCGACACGGTCAAGATCGCACTGGGCTCGTGCATGCCCTGTCTCCGCCCCGTTTCGTCCTCTGATAGTTTACAGAACACAAATCGACTGACAATATCAGCAGAACAGCCAGAGCTATACAACCCCGCTGTCAACCGTATCCCCCGCGCGCGTCCTGACGAACTACAAGGCCTCTTAGCCGACTCATCGGATAACGAGCGGGCGGAAACTCTTTCCTTACATTCGAACCCTGGAAGGGGAGGGAGGAGACGAAAACGAAGGTCCAAGGCAAATACGAACGGGAATGGGAAACCTAGGAGGATAACCCTGTTCGGATTCGATCTCTTCGGCCGACCACCTCCCATCCAACTCCCACCCGACGACGACGCTGGCGACGACGATGCGCCTTTATTCCGCCGTCACCACAGCAGCAGCAGCGGGGGTGGCAGCACGCCCACAACAACCCTAACTACCCAAACATTCGACTCCGACGCCGCTCCTCTCGACATATCCACCATCCAATCCATCTCTGTCTCCAAAGCCACCGAAGCAGCCGAAGCGGAGGCCAAGCGTCTCAAGGAAAAAGAGGAGAGGAGACAACGGAGGAAAGCGAAGAAGGAGATGAAGAGGCTCGTGGAGGCTGGTGTTGTTGGCGATGGGGAGGAGTTTGAGGGGTTTCAAGGGAGTGGTGGGTTGGCTTTGCTGAAGCGGCCTAGTGGCGCTGGAGCTGGTGGGGGGACTACGGCGACGTCTTCGTCGGGCTCTCATTCTCATTCGAGGTCTCACTCTCGATCCCAACAGTCGAGGGAAGGTTTCGGACATTTCGTATCCGCCCCTCTTCTTCCAACAGCAGCAGCGGAGGAAGACGACGAAAACGCAGACCTCGACGGAAGCCTCTACGCACGCAAAAACTCAAACGGCGCTCACTCAAACGGGGGTACCTCAGATTCACGTCGTAATCGATCTTCGTTGAGCCGTACATCCGCATCTGCGTCTGACCGACCCCATCACACCGTTCCTCCCCACCAACATCACCCCAACCCCGGCGTTCGCAAATCCAAACATTCCTCAACCTCCCAATCAAGATCAAGATCCAACACTTCCTCGCAATCGCCCTCCCTCCAATCACCTTCCTCACCTGCGTTCAGCGACGCTCAGGTTGTCAGTCCAAGTACCGTCGAGCAGGGACAGGGGTTTTTTGATTTGGAGGATAATGAGTTACCTGTTCGAGAAGAAGGAGCGTTCACCGAACGGATTGAAGGTGCAGGTGGTGGATTCCCGGTGGGACGGATCGGTGCACCGGGTGGTGGCGGTTTCCCAATGACAGGCTTTGGAGGGGGAGGGGGGAAGAGGTCTAGGGATTTCGGTGCGTTTTTGGCTAGGCGGGGGGATGGGGAGGACGAGCGTAGGGTAGGGGATGGGGTGTGAGCGTGCACGGCCTACGTGTATTTTTTTGGATAGACCGACCTGTTCTTCCACTCCCGTATACCCCTCCTCGACCACGACTGCTACTTATATGCTCATACTTTATTATATATACTGGATGGATGGAGAATTGGTGTAACATATGCTTATTTTTTTTAGTATGACATTCCTTGCAAGTTACCTAGTATCACCCCACAACCAATTTGCAATATTCATTAACATTATTTACAGGGAAATTAGCTCGGTTGGAAGAGCAGCACCATGAGGTATGTACATAAAAACGTGCATCCATGACCACATTTTCATTTTTTTTGTTTGTTCTTTCATGGATTTTAGGATTCAGAAAATTTTCTTTGTCTTCTCTGATTCTGCATGTTATTTATGAGGAAGTAAGGGGGGCATAACTCTGTGTTGAAATGGAAAGCTTGTCTTCTGAATGTCTCCCATTATGGTAACAGTTTATTTATTTCTTCCTCACACAGAACAACACAATTTGGATACCTTTTTTTTCTCTGAAGTTTGTATCATACATGTTGTTAATTCTTGATGGGCCTTTGTCTGGTTCATTGTAAGAATACTTTATTATATCTTGGAACAAGTCTCCTTGGTTTCCTGCTCTAGGGGGCAAAAAAAGGGACAGAGCCAAACTTATTCACTCAGAGCCAGAAACTTCAGCCTAGCCCTCAGTGCCTCAGCCTCCTCATGTTTTCCTTGTCGTGAGTATGTTCTTGCAAGATTTTTCAGGCAGGCCAAGGTATCTGGATGTTCAGGCCCCAGGATCCTTTTATGCAGATCCAAAACCTTCACTCCCAGCTCTGCAGCTTCCTCATATTTTTCTTGGTATGAATATGTGACTACAAGATTATTCATGCTGGTCAATGTATCTGGATGTTCTGGCCCCAACACCCTTGTATACAGATTCACAACTTTCAGCTTCAGCTCCTCAGCCTCCTTGTGTTTTCCTTGTTGTGAATATGTGACTGCAAGATTTGCCATGCTGATCAATGTATCTGGATGTTCAGGCCCCAAGATCCTTTTATGCAGATCCAAAACCTTCACTCACAGCTTCTGCAGCTTCCTCATATTTTTCTTGGTATGAATATGTGACTGCAAGATTATTCATGCTGGTCAATGTATCTGGATGTTCTGGCCCCAACACCCTTGTATGCAGATCCACAACTTTCAGCTTCAGCTCCTCAGCCTCCTTGTGTTTTCCTTGTTGTGAATATGTACTTGCAAGATTTGCCATGCTGATCAATGTATCTGGATGTTCTGCCCCCAACACCCTTGTACGCAGATCCAAGACTTTCAGCCACAGCTTCCCAGCCTCCTCATATTTTCCTTGGTCAAAATATGTGACTGCAAGATTATTCATGCTGGTCAATGTCTTTGGATGTTCTGGCCCCAACACCCTTGTATGCAGATCCAAGACTTTCAGCTTCAGCTCCCCAGCCTCCTCATGTTTTCCTTGGTCTGAATAGGTACTTGCAAGATTTGCCATGCTGGTCAAGGTACTTGGATGTTCTGCCCCCAACACCCTTGTACGCAGATCCAAGACTTTCAGCCACAGCTTCCCAGCCTCCTCATATTTTCCTTGGTCAAAATATGTGACTGCAAGATTTGCCATGCTGGTCAATGTATCTGGATGTTCTGGCCCCAACACCCTTGTATACAGATCCAAGACTTTCAGCTGCAGCTTCCCAGCCTCCTCATATTTTCCTTGGTATAAATATGTGACTGCAACATCAGTCATACTCTTCAAGGTATCTTGATGATCCGGCCCCACCACCCTTGTACGGAGATCCAGGACTTTCAGCTGCAGCTCCCCTGCCTCCTCATATTTTCCTTGGTCTGCATAGGTACATGCAAGATTTGACATGCTGGTCAGTGTTGATGGATGGTTCATCCCCTGCTCCTTCATCCTCATTTCTACTATCTGACATTCAAGATACTCTGCATCTTTCCACATTCCAGTTCCAGAGAATACATAACTGAAATTGGAATATTCATCATCATCAAACACTCGCTCAAAGCCATTTTTGCTCTCTAACTGGTAATTGGCTTTGATGTGTGGTACAAGAACCCTGTTGAATGCAATGTTCTCAGCTGTCATTTCTCTTGTAATACAGTTTACAAGGATCAATTTTGCCACCTGCATCATGCACCTTTTTTGAGACATTGACATCCTATCTCTACTCCATTGATGCATCAGTGGATGAATGGTGTAGATATCTGAAGAGCTTGGGCCCCCTTTGATCAAAGAAAAGGACATAAGAACTCTAATTCCTTCATGAAAGAAGAATTCATTCCAACTCTGATCCTCTTCCAGCTGGAGCAATTGGGTGATGCAGCTTTTGATGTTTTGTTCCAGTTTACTGTGATCTCCTTTAGAGAATTTCATAGCAGCCTTTCTAAAAGCAGCCTCAATGATATTCTCATGATGTAGAAATGCAACAGTTTCAAGAATAAGAATAGCAGCCTGAGCAGCTGCTCTACCATGCTCATCAGATTTCTTGTTTGCCCTTGATTCAATTTCATTGAAAGACAAATCCCATGTTTCATAAACTGTACGATTGTACTGAGATGCTCCCCTGAATGAAGGGTGGTTCATGAGCCTTTTTCTCTGTCGAGACAAATGATCAAGGTAATTGTTAATCCTACAGAGACCAGCTTGAATGGAAGCCCCTGCTTGATCAACAGCCAGAGGCAAACAGCAGAGTTCATTTACAATCTGCTGAGCTATGATATAAACATTTTCTGGCAGCTCAGTCAGATTGCTGGCTTTCACTAAGAGTGATATGGCTTCCTTTTCAGCCATCTGATCAACTTCCAGAGAGTTTTTATAAGATGTGACACGCCCAAGAGATGGATTTCTGCTAGTAACCAGAATATTGCCCTCAGAACCAAGTGGAATAAATTTCTCTACAACTTCAGGTGCACCATCAGCATTGTCAAACACCAGCAGCCATTTAGACTGCAGAGATGCAATCCAGATAAGAGCAGACATAGAGGACACAGAGATATTAGCAGCTTTAGCCTCAGGATGAGAACAAAGACCCTTCAAACCAAGAGCAATAGTATCTTCAGAAGAAGCATCAATCCAGAAAATGTGAGAGAATCTGCATTCACTTGTCATAAAATCAGAAATATTATGTCTGAAAAAACTTACCTCCCAGCCATCTCCTCAACAAACTTCAAACAAATCTGTGTCTTTCCAATACCTCCCATGCCATATAACAAGAATGACTTTCTGCCTCTATCCCCTTCATCTTGAACTGCAAAGTGATCCTTCAGCCTCTGAAGAATATACTCACGACCTGTAAATAGAGCACTTGAATTTGGCCTTTGGGGAGCAAGGAGTGTATCATCTTGACCCCTGCTGGCATGTTCATGAACATTGATCTTCACAAAAAGTCCAATCAATATTTCAAATCATCAATGCTGGGGTAACCAGACACACATTGTGAGCCACATAGAGTGTGGAATCCTTCATATCAATGTTGGCTCCTTGCATGACATTCTAGAATTTCCGAAGACAAAATGAGCTGATGAATTTGTTTGCATTGTAAACAAACCAAAGAGGTACTACGCTCTCCCGTAGCTTCAGGCGCCCTTGTAATCATCGACCTAAATTCTGTCAGGATGCTATCTGTATGTATGTCGTTCAGCAACACGAACCTCGAACCGCTAGGGCGTTGATCATGTGAACGATCTGCGCCAATGAAACGACCGAGCAATCCCTTGAACTTTCCTTTCAACTGATTTTCGCGTGGGCGATTAAGATCAGACATCATGGTTCAGAAGAGAGAGTCGATGCTGTGCGGCGTCAATTTTCAGAATGGGTAACGGACCACTTCACACGGTCAGCTGATGTTCCTGATTAAGAGAGGCCTGGAATCAAGAACAGCGCTCCGATGTCCAAGCGCAGTGTCGGAAATTTCCCAGGCACCTGATAAGTATGGCAACAGGGAGTGACCAGCTTCGTTTTCTCGGCAAACACCGTTATTTGTCCACTTGCCGAGTTGCTGCCGCGTATAATTATTACAAAATACTGTTTTCCCACGATAATTACCTACTCATGGCTTGTATATGTCAAGCATCCACTGAAAAACAACAGTTCTGAGAGTGCATCAGTGATGATGGGTACACAACTTCCTGCCTATTTAGTTTGGAAATTTGTTTGTCAGCTCTGTATTATGGTACTTAACCTTCTGAATTGTTTTCTACTGATGTTACCCAGCTTTCAGCCTGTTGCAATTTATCCAACTATGAGAGGTTCAATGTCAAAGGATTAGTAAAAAATGTATTGGAATTCATTTTATCTCATGGTTCCTTTGCAGACTTTGAAAATTTTCAGAATGGTGGTAAGGTAGCTGAGAAAATCTTTTGAATATCCTTACTGCAAGTTTAAGGACTATGGGTTTAAGGACTATGGGTATACTTATGTTTTAAACTCCCACTAGGATGTTCACTCTACATATTTTCTTGTATTCCACAAATTAATTGATGAGCTTCTGAATGTCCTTTCTTGCTGATGCTGATTCTCCACTACAGTCATGTTTTTTAGTCAGAGAAAGTAAAAAATGCCTCATTCAAAGTATCACACCTGGGAAAAGCAGTGATTTGCAAATGTACCAGAATATTTATTCCCTTCTGAGTGCTTGTAATTATTACAGGACATACAATAACTTACCCCCAGAATTTCAATGATACTAAAGGCATTTTAGCTTTTTTTGCTGTTTTTTTCAGCATGAGGAGTGCTGCAAATTTGTGGTGAAGAGAATCAAATTACTTTCTTCAGTCTTAACTGCTTAAGTTTTCTTCACCATTCTTCAACTTTGCACAGTGGCTGAAAAAGAATTTTGAATTTCTTTTTGACTAATTTTTTGAACAGTATAATGTGACTGGACAGCATTGGTAGAGCATAAGTATCATAATATAAAGCAAATAGACACAAGATTGTGTACTTAGCATCTCCGCACTCTCAGAACTGTTGTTTTCAG